ACCCCCCCCCCCCCCCCCCCCAGGATGGTTCAAAGGGGCCCAAACCCTCTAAATGTACCCATCACACCAGAAACATAAAAGATCATGAGAGTGCATTACAACTGATCACAGAAATCATTAACTCCAAAAAGTCAAAGAGTAACAGCAAGAAAGGGTGGAAATGCTATACTGCTGTTAACAGACTGTGATAAAAATTGTCAACAGTAAGCACAAGTTTGGACATTTCCACAAAAACTTCCTGGATCCATCCCAGATAATAAAGATGAAGGTGAAATAATAAAAACTTCATTAGGTTACTCACTTGATGTGGTCTACAATTTCATTCAAAGGAGTAGGCAAGGGTGTGTCTTTCACATCACTACAAGGAAAAGAGAGGCAATACATTAATGCGAATGGTTACTACAAAGGCCAAAATCCTTTAGGTCTCTAATAATTAAAGTTTGTTATAGTTATTTGCATGATTACATCAAGCTTAGTAAGCATAATCACAGGTCCTTACCCTATTTGAATAATATGTAAAAATTATCAGTCCAAAGTCAATGTGTATTTGCATTATACCACAACAACATTTTTATTTTCTTGGTTTTTACTTTTTTACAAGTTGATGGCTTGCAGGTAGCTAGTGCTAATCTTGGTGGGTCAGTTTAACATTCAAATGCTATAAAACAAGTCCATAAAATAAAAGTAAAATAATTTCACTTTTATCCACTAATTGGATGAAGGCAAGTACAGTAGAACCTCCCATAAGTGATCACCCACAATGCCCAAGTTTATGGGTGCTGCTTGGGAGTTCTCTAGCAGGAACAGGTCTGAAACAAGTACTCATTTTCGAGAAAATTTTATGGGCACACAGTTTCTGAGTTACAAAACCAGCAGTGCCACATTGTCACTAAAGGTTTCTCATATACTCTGAGTCAAATGATACATACAGACAGTGAACAAATAAGACTGTCAAGTGGGTACTTACAGGGTTAAAAACAATGGAAATTCAACAAAAAATGACCTAATAGTGGTGACTTAAGGTTCCAAAAATGGTGCTTTGACAGGGAAAATTTTGGTATTTGTACAGTCTTGTGGTTGCATTTGAGGTTTTAACTGCATCAAGGAATTAGGGCCATTTTATTTAACAAGCTAAGGGTGACAGCTATGCAGGAATAGCCTGCGTTGCAGACGTAATTTAACCTTGGTTAGTAGCATCTGCGAAGCAGGGCCAATATGCTTGTTCTGGGCACCCAGCAGGCTCAACAAATTACCAGAAGTGCATTTTGAATTTCCTTTCATCTTGTTACGCAAATCGACAATGGCATTTGTAACTACTAAGCCAATCATGGTGCATACTCAAATCCTGGTACACAGGAGGCCCAAAACAAGATGGACTTAACCAAAATTTAGTCTTGTCTGTGGTGCAGGCTATGTAGGAATGGCATCAGGAAGATTTTAATGTATGGCCACAGTGAATCAAGGTAGGTAACAGTGATTTCATTTTAATGCAACAGAACTTTAATGTAAATCTTTTAACACAACCAAACGCAGAGTTGTACCCTGTGTCAAAACCCTACATTAATTTACTGCGTATGTTATTACCGTAAGCAATGCGTGCACTTTTGTTTTTGTTACAGTACTTGTTGCAATTTTTCATACAGTTCAACATCTATGTAGTGGTCACCTTTGAGACAAAATTGGCCCTTGTGGAAAAGTGGCTGTTGTACAAAGGTGGATGCAGGTAGAGTTTCAATACTATTGTATTTTCTAAACTTTATGTCTTGCTGGTCCACTAAGTTTTGTCTATGCTTTGAGCAGACATTTCTTTCTGACATCGCTTTTAGCATTTATGAAGTTGTTTGCGCCAGTCGTGTAGTTGGTTTGTTTACACCCCCAACTACACGACTAACAGTGATGCAAACGATTTCATAAATGCTAAAAGCTATGCCTGAAAAGAAACCTCTGCTCGCAGGGTAAGCTTTGTCTCAATCAGCCTGAAGGAAATATTCTCCCAAACTTTTAAGTGTGTCTACTTGTGATCTCTGAGCTAACAAATGGATTGTTTCTGCAATCATCCTGGCATTGTATGATTCCTTTGATTGGTCATCCTCCCATTCAGAGAACAGCTTCCTGAAGGTGGTTTCAAACTGTTGAACCTTGTGGTATTCATCCAGGCAAGGCTGAATAGAGGCATAAGTGGGCTTTCTGTTCCTTGCAACATCTTTAAAGATGAGTTTATGTTCTTCATGCAAGTTTAATTTGTCAGGGAAAAAGTAACAAAGCCAAATAAAGAAATAGTTTGTTATTGGAGGAACAGTCTCGCCAAGTTCTTTTTGAAGAATATGAATTACTGGTCTTAATGGCGCAAATTTAGCATCGTATTTCGATAAACGCACATCATCATCTAAATCAACACAATCCAAGTATTTGGGCTGACCATCATCCTCGTGAAATGAAACTGAAGAACAGCAGTGAAACTCCTTCAACGTAACATCCAATTGTAAATCTTCACTTGTTATGTGTATCATCGTTATCTTTGAGTCTTCTTCAATGGGATATTCTTCAACGTAGTCAGTCTCGATCACTAAAGTTTGTCCGCCACCCGGTAACCGCAGTGTTAAAGTTTGATTCTTGTTAATGGTTATAAAGCCATCCCAGTCATCACGAAAAAACACTTCATCGCCATCTTGTTGATTTCTAACCCACGTTAAGAGTTTCGCAGCCACAGGCCCGTTTTTTTGCCATAAATCGATTACTTTATCGTAGGTAAGGAACTCTCTGGCTTTTGTGAGCTGTGCACAACCACAAACTAGTTTCCTCATTTTATCACGCTTTTCCTCATCGAGGTCAATCTCAACATCGTAACGGCGGATAAAATACAAGGCCTTAAACTTTAAAAGGCGTGCATGTAGTACGCATCTTGTGTTTCTAGTTACTTGAAGAAGTCTCTTGCAGGTGAGAGCGACGCTGTAAAAAGTACGAGGGTGATCAATGAAAGAAACAATTTTACAGAGACACTCTTCTGGCAAAGAGAAAATGGACGCCATGTTGTAAACTCGTCTCGTGCCAGACCCCAAGTTTCTCTCAGCCGAACAGTACGCACGCAATACGTGAATAGAGACGCAACTGAAAAATAAAATAAAATGCGTGGCATGACATCTGGAAGGAGGACCGCTTTAACAGCGGTTGCCTGAATAAGAGACGGAGTAGACTGCTGGTTAATTAATCCTCTGGTAATTCAGCTAAAGAAAAGAGCAAGGAATTTATATGGGGTATGACGGTCATTCTTAGTGGATTTTATTGCGGTTTTTTTTACTACAAGAACATGGCGTAAATAGTCAATTCTCTTTGCCGACTGCGAGTTTAGTTTGCTGCTTGTTATACACCCTGCTACGTAGATTTTTTCCCTCTGAGATTGAGTCCTCAAAAATTATAAATAAACACGAGAGCAAACTTTCTTTACAAAATTGAGTCGGTTTCATTATGTGTTTATTTATTAAATAAATCGCGGGTACGATTCCTTGGACCGGGACCAACACTCAGGGTCTTAAAATGACTGAAAGTTTACGACCTGTAAACGGCTTTGTGGTAAGTTTTAGCTCTTTATAGCACGAAGGTGACAAGAGAACCGCTCGACTAGCTTCAAAACGCGTTTTTCGGCAAAATCTCCAAGATCGAATGGGTTAACTTTTCCCCCCAGCAAATTCAGGCAAATTTCACGTCACTTTACAGTGCAATATAATAGTTACAACTAATTCCTTGTGCAACGGATATCACAGGCATAAAAAGTTCCGTCTCTGTATGATTTTTTATTTCAACTCAAATCAGTTTCTCGACACAGAGACCCGGTAGAACATCATCAACTCTCTGTTTTTAAGTAAAGTAAACTTTGCAGCTACTGCTCATCATCATCATTGTCACTATCATCATCATCATCATAATCATCGTCATCATCATCATCATCATCATCATTGTCACTATCATCATCATCATCATCATCATCATTGTCACCATCATCGTCATCGCATCATCATCATTGTCATCATCATCATCATCATCATCGTCGTCGTCGTAGTCATCGTCATCCTCGCCGTTATCGTCATTATCATTGACATTATCGTTATTATTATACTTTCCGATGAATAGACAAGTGCTTCGGGAGATAAAATGGAGTGAATATCATTTTCAGTTTACAGTTAAAAGCAGATGGTTAAAATCGTGAAAGTTTTCCTAGTAACGTATATTTCGTAACCTTCAGAGGTAACTTTCATACTCAGTAAAGAGCCCTTCTCAAACGCTGTAAGCACGAGCCCTATTTGCAGCATTTAAGCAAACACAGTCAAACTGCTTTGTAATTGCTGCGGAGCGACCCTAGGGAGCAAGCAGCAACATAATCAGGATTTAAGGGAAATATATAAGGTGGGACGAATTCTCGAATTCATCACTTTTTACCACAATGCATTGCATTTAACCACCATTTTTACCAGGATGCATTGCGCCACGAACAACTCAAATAAAAACACGGGGAAGTTCGGTGGGTTAGAGAGTGCATCGTTCGCTGCCCAGACTCTGAGTTTCCTTTGTGGCAAATTTTCTACAGCACGGTTAGAGGGTCTTACCAAATTTAAGACACGCAGGAGTCTTTCAGACGAGTACGATGGTTAACTTGGGGATTGGCAAGAAGATGAGCATTTGCTCTTCGACTCCGCAACACTACGGGGGATATACAAATAACAGCTTGCTAGAAGGTGATGTGAAAGTGAGAAAATGTCATGCCATGCTATTCTTAAGAGCCTGTATGAGCCGAAAATGGATTTGATTTTGACCATTACCTTCAAACTAACAGTGGAAATCGCGATAACAAAACATATATTTTGCGTCCTGCTTTGCAGACGAGAACGTGTATCGGCGTTTTGAAAAGTATAATTATCACTGATTATGTTCTTTCATTCATTCATTGCCATGGATTATGCGTTTACATTGTTTTTTAACTGTTAATAGCTCGGTTAATGCGACTGGCGATCATCTTGCTGGCGGAAGTTTCATGGAAAAGGCATTAAATTAGAGACTTTTCCCTAAAGTCGCGTAATCAACTTCTGTGGTGTACTGGTTAGGTGTAATCGCGTCGAGCCGAACTTCAACTTCAACTTCAACTTTATTCATTCAATTTCAGTTTACAATTACACGATAGCTTCCACCCGCGTATAAGAGAGCCTAATCGAGGCGAAGGTGCCGGGTTTAGTCCTACTCAACTCTTGTTTTCCTTCTTTCTTTTTTTTTCCGTTTTTTGTTGTTTTCTATAAATATATACCTAAATGACTGTTATTTAAAAGTGCAATAAACAGCAAGAAACGTATCGTGTTTGCAGAGAAAAGATAGTACGCCTAAAATAATTATATGGATAAACAATCTGAATTTCTATCATTTCCCACAATTTACTGTGGAGAAACCAGAGTTGATAACCACTTGATCATTTTCTAAACAAAGTTCCCACGAGTTCTTTCTATTAGACTGATAGTAATTATTACTTTCCAACATGTAAACAGGACATTCAATGTCATTTTCGATTCTTTTATGTCTCACTGCCTAACTAATGCCAGTATCAACAGAACATGCCGCAGCATTACTATCTTTTACGTAGATACCCTAGTTTTAACACCATAATTCAGTGGTTACTTATAAGTTTTTATGATTCATCAAAATCTGAGAACCACTCTTCATCGGACAGTGGCGGAATAAGTCTATGCTCAGTGTCCATACAGAAAAGAAAACCCAAGGCAGTAATAAAGTAAATAGCCGAGAAGCGATTATCAACTTCCAGGGGGAGCTCTTGTCCCTGAATGTTCTGACTAAACGTCTCCAGAAGAAGTTTTGTAACTGGGCTCAGGTTTTCAGTTTCTAATGGATCATCTGAAAAAAAATCATTTTCCGACTCTGACTTTAACATTGTACCATCTGGTAGAGTAAACTCGATTTTTAAATCCGAGTATGGAATTTACAGCATTCCGTCTTGATTATTGTAACCTCTTATCCAGCCACACACATTCATTACTTGGCCACCTGGACAGGCGAAATAAACTTTGCTCTCTACATAGAGCGGTTTTCATTTGAGTGTCGAAAAGTAATTGGTTTTGCACTTTCTACACGATGCGATTGGCTTAAAAGATTCGCGTCACCTTTTCATCCAATCAGAAGTAAAACCAAAGCCAATTGTGACGCGCACTTTGCGTCAGCCACATGTAATTACTTCGAGTTTTGATTGGTTCAATGTATTGTCTGTGTCCTATGTGATTGGCCAGAGTAATTACTTTGGTTTTGGTTTTACGACACTCAAACGAAAACCACTCTATCTGTCAGAGGTATTTACATGGTGGTAAGTACTTTCTGCTACCGATGTTTGTTGAAGTAAGTCAAGCTGAAGCCGCTTTGGCAATTTCGTCATGCCAAATACGTGTGAGATGTCGCTGTCGTACATGACCCAAAACCTCGAAGCATTTGTCAGTAAATTTTCGAGGATTTTTGCTTCCGATCTCTGAGACAGTAAACGGACCATTTCTGCGATCATCTTGGAATTCACTGAATCGTGTTCTTCATCACTTTCCCACCCAGACACCAGGTTTTGAAGACCAGCTTCAAATTGTTGATCCATCTGGCACTGATCTATAGCTGACTGGACAGATGCTACAGTTGGTTTCATGTTCCTTGCAGTGTCTTTGAAACTAAGTCTATTTGCTCCAGGTAAATTTGACATGTCAGGAAAATAGAAACAGAGCCAAAGGAAGAAGTGATGCGTTATTGAGGGAACGGTCTCACCAAGTTCTCCCTGAAGAATATCTATCACTGCCTTCATCGGTTGCACAGCACGGGTAACTTCTTCTTTTTTCCAAGACAAGTAATCCTGAGGTGAATACCGATTCCACACCTCGGAGTTAAGGCAAATATCGCCAAACGTTACCGAAATGTTTAGATCTTCACGGTAAAATGAGCAGTTGATTACCATACTCAGCTCGCACTTCGGTAAATAAAGCGATACACTTTGACGCTTACAAAAAAAATCAACACTTGATATTTGATTTCTGACCCAGGTAAAGACTTTGGCAGCTACGGGTCCGTTTCTTTGCCAAACATCCATCACTCTGTCATAAGTAAGTACTTCCTTTGCCGCTACTAGCTGTGCAGATTCATGCAGGAAGTTTTCTAATTTGTCAAACTTGTCACATTCATTAGCAGTTTCGCCAATGTCGTAGACAATGTAGCTCTTGATAAAAAATTCGGCCTTCGCTCTCAGAAGGTTTGTATGCAAAATGCTATTTGCTTTTCGAGTGACTTGAGAAAATCTGCTGCAGGTGAGAATAAAACTGTGGAAGGAACCTGGATGGTCTATGTAAGAAACAATTTTGAAGAGACAGTCATCGGTGAGAGATAAAATTGACGCCATGCTTCTAGAAGCACAGACCGCATTCTGTAATTTGCAATTTAAAGTTGCTTGATGCATAACACGCTATCAGGCATACAATTAAAACCATTGGAGCGGCTAAAATAAGACAAGCTGTAATTTCAGAAGCAGTGCTCTGTAGGGCCTTGCAGCGATTAGTTAGTTACGAAAAAACTTCACAGAATTTGGTTTTATCAACTGGCTTGCTCAGAAGGGCTATATTTGATATTTAGTCAATTCTCAAAAGGAATCCTCTCTGAAAACCAAATCATTGCGGTTCTAAAATTATTTGTTTTCACATAATCGGTAAAGCTACGGTCAAACAGTTGCAATATGTTTCTTTAAAACTTCGCCCTTGCTAACATTTGTTGAAAACCGATGTTGTAACCGGTTTGACACTGTGTCGAAGCGCTTGTTTAAACTTTGTGATTATTTACAAGTTTGTCTGTTTACATTTGTTGAAGCAATGTTGTGACCGTCCTTTTGACTGGGGCATAATTGTGATCGAACTGTCAGAATTATATACACCCACACAATACCTTCGACAAATGGCCCGGCACTATCAAGCCATGAAGGAGTGGTGAATATGTTAATCCTGCTATTCTACCCAGGGATCTTTGGGCGTTGAATTGTGTCGTTATCAATTTATTACTGTTGAACCTCGCGGTACGGACACCTCTATATTACGGACAGTTTCCAATGTCCCGACAAAATTCTCATATATTTTCTTTAAAAAACCTCTATAATACGGACTCTCTTTAATACGGACAACGGACACTAAATCTCGGCCCCAGAGAGTAAATTCATAAAAGCTTAACCTCTTTATTACGAACACTGCGGTGATCGGGTGTATCCCGAATCCCAATCAGGTGAATTTGCACAGGGTGAATCCTGTCTGGCTGATGAACTATGCAAGGTGAATTCAAAAGCCCATCGCTGTATATCAAACAACGATTTGCACAAGGTGCACATTGGAACATAACCGACTTTTTTAAGGCTTGAATAACTACCGATAGGATAACTTGATATTTCTATTACACTTTGTACTCTAGTTACTGTTTACTGCACTTGCAAAATAGCGAAAGAAGCTTTCAGAATTGTGCTTTAAGTTACAGCTCGTTTTGTCTTTTGACGACTGTCATACGTAGCTGATATGTACAGTATTGCATGCTATTGAAAGACAGTGTCTTTGTACTGCGAATTAATAAACATAAATGCAGTTTAAAGACGAGTGAAAGCCTGGTTTTAGCTACTGAAACTTCAAACTGTAAGTGGAGTCATAAAAGTGACGTCATCATAGTGACCTCTTTTATACTGACACCTCTCTAATACGGACACTTCGCTCTGTCCCTTCGGTGTCCGTATTCCAGAGGCTCGACTGTACCATAACTTCGAATCCGGACTACTTCTTCTAAAAACGTAATTTATACTTTACATCAGCTTATGTTATCGACTGATGGATATGAAATTGAGCTGCAGGGCCAGGTAAATTTTATAAACGAAAATAGTCAATGGCATTTGAAGGTGTCAGCTGTCTCAAACGTCTGCTGGAAGAAGTGGAAACGAAAGCTAAATGTCTGGTAGTTGGTTGACTTAATTACTATGTTTCACTTTCCTCAGGTAATTCCTCAGCTGACGATTCATCTTGTGAGTCTGATAGAAACATTTCATCTTCTTCTCCTACGAAAATTTCTGTCGCTTCACCAAACTTCAAAGCATACAACAACTTATCAATCTTAGGGATGCGCTTTTCTCCTTTCATTCGCTGACTAATACCTTGTTGTAGAAGCTCTGTAACAGGGTTAAGATTTTCAGATTGCAATGGCGTGTGCCGTGCATATAACCTTAGAGGTTTTCCATGTGGTAGGGTGAAGTCAAGTACTAATATGTGCTAAGCTGGGTACCCTGCGCCATTCACCATGCATGACACCACGGACTGTAATGATTTCGCATCCATGACACCTAAAAATTACTTGGCCTTTAACACACTTGTCAGCAATTGATCCAGGCCCATAGTCACTTTCCTTTACAGACATTCGAAGAATCAAATCAAGCAGAAGTTATTTTGGCACTTTCTTCAAATCATACTAGGAAGTAATTCCTTGAAACCTCTCTGCACCTTCTTTCAGACATTTTAGAATTCTTGTTTCTGATCTCTGAGTCAATATACTGAGAGTTTCCATTTTAACTCAGGAATACTTGGACTGAAGGTGCTTATCACCCTCCCACTTGGACATTAGCTTCTGAACTTTGGTTGCAGTTTGCTAATAATTGTGGAACTCACTTATAGCAGCCTGTGTGGAGGTCAAAGAGGGTTGACGTTCTTGATGGTATTTTGAAATTTAGCCTGTGCGCTTCATTCAAGTTTGACTCATCTGGGAAGAAGTAGCACAGCCATATAAAGAAATTACTCGTTACCGGTGGAACAGTTTCGCCGAGCTCTTTCTGAAGAAGTTCAATGATTGCTTTCATCGGCTGCACTGCACGGCTCACTTCATTTTCTTCTTTTTTTTTAATCTTCTTCCCAATCCAAGTAATCTTTTGGAGAGCAGCGGGTAAAACCTTCGGATTTGACGTCGATGTCTCCACAGGTGACGTGGATGCTTAGTTCTGGATCCTAATGATGACCATAATCCCTGAAGTAGGAGGTCTTTATCGTTAGGCTTTCTCCTGTTTCTCCACAGCTAGGTAAACAAAAAGTTACTCTTCGATATCCTGCCAAACAGGTCGCTCTCGGTTCACCCTCTTGCACGCTGGACTCTTTATTTCTCAGCCACGAAGAAGAGTTTAGCGACCACAGCTCCGTTCTTTTGCCATACATCCATCACCTTCTCATAACTTCTCCGTAAGTCGCGAGCATCCGGCATCTCGTACTCTTTAAGTGGTAGTGTTGACCAAAGTAAAATCACTTAGCTTTATTCTTAGAACCATGGCATTAAAGAAACCAGTTTTTTCACATTCATAGAATTTTTTAGACTTCACACCTTTAGGATTTACTGATAACAACTTGCAAAACGGATTGAAAAACCGAACCCAATCTAATCTGGTTGTGTTCCTTTGTTTCTTCGGCTCGAAGCCGAATCATATTTTATGTAAGCTTACATTTTTTTCTTGTCTCTTTCAAGCGCATATTTTAAGTTAGTATTTTCATTGCAAAAGCGACTGTTGTATTTCACAAATCATAAACTACAACAGACAGTGCAGGTACAAAACGGATTATAATCCACTTGTTCAAAAGGCGTTTCTCAGTAGTCGAGAATAACATAGGTGACACGCTAGTGCGAAAATTTACTCTTTGCCACATTCTTGAGCCGAAAACCTGCTAAAACCTAGCAATAATAAAAATAAGTTTTACTCACACTTTCTGAACCTAAATATCTAAGTTTGCTACAGAAATACTTCTTGAGAAACCTTGAGATAACAGGGTTTTTTATTTGGAAGGTTTTCATATCGTTTGATCTCAGGGTTTTCTTTGTCTCGCTAGCGAGAGTTTTGTATGCGTAAGAGATCTTGCGTGGCTTGCTGAGCGCGCGTCGCGAACGCTGTTATTGAATGGAGCCAAAACCAATTGTGGAATTGCACGCATTTTAGGCATCCTACTGATGAACAGTTGGGACACGTAGATTCATTTTTTAGCAACTACTATAATTTGCAGTCTGTCTACTTTAAATTGAAAAAAAAAAAAACAAAACAAAACAAAACAAACTGTAGTAAGCCACCTTAACTTGAAATCATCGCCGCTCTCGACCACGAAACATTTAATAAAGTACCCGGCCTTCAACAGTGAAAGGTTCTTATGATGGGCGCTTCTCGCGCTCTTGGTCACTTGCAGAGGTCTTCTGTTGGTTAATGCGATGTTGTAAAAAGAACTTGGGTCATCAATACATGAAACAATTCTGAGCAGACAATCGTCTGTTAGCGACAACTGATACGAGAGCCATATTAGATTGTCGGGTCACGCAAACATATAATGAACAAGTGATTTAGAAATTTGCATGTTCAGACAACCATGACAACCGTAAACATTCAGGGGTGTCAGTAAATCGGGAACCGGATATCTACGGATGACGGATGACGGATGACGGATGAAAAATGCGGATGGTTGAAGAAAAGAATTGAGGGGGTGTGGAAGAGAAAAAAATGAAAAAAAGGATGGAAAAATGAAATAAAAACAATAAGAAAGTGTAATCGAAACAGAGAAGAAATATCTAAATACAAGCGGGTAAAGAACAGTAAAACGAAGGGAAAAAATGTTAAAGTAATTGGGAATCAAAGGCAACTCAGTGATAACTAAAGCTAAAAATATAGAGACACAAAAATTTAGTTTCATCAGCTAAGTTCACATGGTTTGAATGCAGTACTTGTCATAAAGAAAGGGGAAGAACCAGACTGAAGTCCTGTTTTGCATGAGTCATAGAGACTCTCTGTCATGGTCATGGTAACTTGAGTGGTATGTATATACTTTAATGCATTGGAAGTGAAAGTCCGTTGTGATCAGTAATAATGTATAAACAGTATTTTTGTTATTAGTTTGCATGAGGAAGTAAAATAACTTTGTTCCTCTATAAAGAGCCTCGGTCTTTATTCAGAATTAATGGTTATCTTTTAACTGCTACAAAATATGCAGTGACAAATTGTCAATATTTTAGGAACTAGTACTGCAGTGATTTATTTCCCTGTCATTTCTTTTGCTTCCACAAAAAACAGTAATGATTACAATGTTAAAACAATGGGCTTGATATTCACCTGAATTCTTTGGAACATAATAATTATGTTATAATAATAATATAGCAGCAACATAACAAGTTGTGACATGTCAGTCTGTAACCATCACCTCTACAATAAAGATCATGACTAACATGAAAATTGATTCTTATCGGTCATACAGGTTTTGTTGCAGTCAAGAAAACAAGACAAGAGCCATGATATGTACTTGAAGATTCAGATTATCAATAAATTTACAGAGTACTAAATGGCGGTCCTGCAGTCAATGAAACACATTTCCAGACAGTTTACAGATTTAGGTGAATCCAATAATTTATAATCAAGAGAATAGAAATTAAGCAAAAGTGAAAGCAGATTATAAGATTAGGCCATAGAAGACTGGGTGAGATGAACATAAAAAAAACTCACTAGCTCTATGGGCAAGCCATTGCTGACCTTCACTAGCCCTGGAATTCATGCAGGCCTAACAACCTTCCTTTTCACTAACATTTACTACTGGCAAACAACTCATACTAAAACACGCAAGCCCAATGGGTCACTCCCTAGTCCCAGGCTGTCCAAAACGTTTTCTGGGCACTCTGGAGTCACATTTTCAATGCTCCACAGAACCCCATGGTCAGTACTATCAACATCTACTGAAAAGCTTTAGGGTTAAATATCAACTATCTGGTAGTTGGACTGTTTTCAATGTCATGGCTCACTTTCTTCAGATGATTCTGCAGCTGATGATTCTTCTTCTGAATCTGATTGAATCAGCTTATTGTATGTTCCTAAGAAAGTGTCTGAAACCACATTGAACTCCAAAGTGGTCAAAAAGAAAGCAGCTGTGAACAAGTTCCCGATCTTAGAGATAAGCTTTTCTCCCTGCCTTTGCTGACTGAAACCTTGCCGCAGAAGCTCTGTAACTGGGCTGAGATCTTCAATTTTTAATGGCTCATTTTGTCCTCTTAGCATTAAGACTTTGCCATCAGGTAGTGTGAACTCAAGCTCTATTTCGTCCCAAGATGGGAGTCCTGCCCCATCCCCACGCATGGAGCCACACACTTTCATGGGTTTATTCCCAGGGCATCTGAAAAATACTGTGGATTCAATGCACTTGTCAGCAATCGAGGCAGCATCATAGCCGCTTTCCTTTAACGACAGGCGAAGAATCAGGTCAAGCAGAAGTTGTTTTGGTAACTTCTTCATGTCGTAGTCAGTGGCAATTCCATGAAACCGACTTGCATCTTCTTTTAGACGTTTGAGAACATTTGTTTTTGACTTCTGAGCTAATATAATTACTGTTTCTACAGCCATTCTGGAATACTCGAACTTTTGGTCGTCATCACTCTTCCATCCTGACATGAGCCTTTGCAGCTTGCCGTCAATTTGCTGATCCTTACGGAACTGGTCTATTGTAGGTTGTACTGATGCATAAGTAGGTTTCATGTTTCTGCCATCATCTTTGAAACTAAGCCGGTGTGCTTCATCCAAGTTAGATTCGTCTGGAAAAAAGTAACAAAACCAAATAAAGAAGTGACTTGATATCTGTGGAACAGTTTCGCCGAGCTCCTTCTGAAGAAGTTCAATGATTGCTTTCATCGGCTGCACCGCACGGCTCACTTCATCTTCTTGCCAATACATGTAATCTTCTGGAGAGTAGTGGGTAAAACCTTCGGAGGTAACATCCAGGTCTCCACAAGTAAGGTGAATGCTTAGTTCTGGGTCATAAACATGATTATAATCCCTGAAATACGAAGTTTCGATCACCATGGTTTTTCCAGAGCTTGGTAAACAAAGCGTAACTTTCCGAGATTCGGTAAAACAAGTCGCTCTTGGTTCGCCTTCTTCCACGCTAGATTCTTTACTTCTCAGCCACGTGAAGAGTTTAGCGACCACCGGTCCGTTTCTTTGCCATATGTCTACCACTTTGTCATAGGAAAGCATTCCTTTTGCCTCTGTAATTCGCGAGGCTTCGAGGAGGAAATCTTCTACCTTGCTAAATGCCTCATAATCGTCTCCATTTTCGACTGTGAAACACTTGATGTAGTATTCAGCTTTTGCTCGTAGAAGATTTGTGTGCAGGACGCTTCTCGTGTTTCTGGTCACTTGTAAAAGTCTCTTGCAGGTTAGAGCGATGTTGTAAAAAGAATTTGGGTTATCAATGTATGAAACAATTCTGAATAAACAGTCGTCTGTTAGCAACAATATGGAAGCCATATTGGATTGGAAGATCACGCAAAGCATCATAAACGGATTTGCATATTTTAATTACACAGGGTGTAAACACAATTACGTTGGCTGGAAGTGGACAATGCCGACAATCTATTCCTTGACGTCCCTTTTCAGTTCTTCTACAACTGTTGAAGTTCACATTTTTTTAAAAATAGTCGAGCTAGAAACTGGTCCATTCAAAGTACACATATGCTGTGGTTCAATAGGCCAGCCCGGTTGTGAATTATCAAAATTCATACTTAGAGCCGAGGCTGAGGGATATAAAACAAGGCACCGTTAGGCGGCATTGGAATTTAATGATAAATAAGCAATTTTCTTTGGCTACCATTTCAAAATTTGCCAGTTTTTGACCTAGGATGGAGTCTAAATCGGACTTTAAGCGTGGAAGGCCCAGAATATCGCTTTAAAGGTCAGGATCGTGAAACTAGCAGGAAACGATGAGTTAGAGCCGTCTGTGGCGAAACAAGGAAGTAAAAAAATTAAAATAAAAACAATAGTCGCGCGTTCATATTTGCGTGACGTCTTCACTAAACATGGCGTTAATCTTGTCTCTTCCAGACGAATGTCTACACATGATTTTTTTCTGTATTGATGACCCAAGTTCTTTTTGCAACATCGCATCATCGCAACACATTTGAAAATTTAACTTATTTTCTTATCGGTTCTGTGTGTTTGGTAGCGTCAAAAGTATTCCTTACCGGCTACGAAAAAGTGGTAGATGTATGGCAAAGGAACGGACCCGTGGTCGGTAAACTCTTCACGTGGGTGACAATTCAAGAAACAAGTGTTAGAAACTGTTTCAGAGGTCTTCTTACCGCGCACTCAACCAAGGTTCGGCCTGTAGTATTTCATTTACTTGGCTGCGGTGAGACCTTGGCAATTAGAAGTTCCTATTCCGTCAGTTCTGGAGGCTGGTTAAACTATGAAAGCGCGCGAAAATATAAACGGTTGCGCATACATGAGATAACATGGAGAGATACCGATGTTACAGCAAAATTCGTGCTTGGTCGAGAGAAACTAAAAAAACTGCATACCGTAAAACTCCGAATATAAGTCCCGGGGCTTATATTTTTCAAAGGCCCTTTTTGAGGGGCTTATTTTTGGAGGGGCCTATATTCGGAGGGGCTTATGTACGGAGGGAAATTTGCGTTTCAAAATCAATTGGGCTAGCTTGTAGTGGCAAGGAAATTTACCATTTTTGCTTTGTTTTACTTTGTATTCGAGGCCAAATTCCAAGTACAAGCCCCTCGGGGCGCTTATATTCGGATGGGCGATTTAACGGAGGGTTTTTTGCGTTACGATTTTGGAGGGCTTACATTTGGAGGGGCTTATACATGGAGGGGCTTATTTTCGGAATTTTACGGTATCCTGGGAAGGGGAAAAACTTAGTCGTTGTTTAGAACCGATCAAAGTGGCCATACAAGTTCTACGGAGAGAAATTGGGGAGACAGATCCTCCAATATCGAACGGTTTATTTATTTAGCTTTGTTGCTTCTTTCCAGATCAATCGATCTTCATTGAAGAAAACAGAGTTACTTTTAGAGATGCCGCCAGAAACACAAAACCAACCCTTGCTACACTGCAAACCGCTGTTGAACAGTACAACGAGTTTCAACAATTTGAAACCAGTCTTCGAAAGCTGTCGTCTGGATGGGAGGAAGATGAAGATCAAAAATCAGAGTATTGGTGGTTTTCATGCAGTCTCGGCAGACACAAATAACAATGATGAAATGAACAAATGCTGGTGGACAAACAAAACGAGCTAATGAGCGATCTTTTGTTTACCGTCCCCCAACATGGCGGCGATGACGTAACGTGAAAACCACCTATTCCAAGATAACCCGTTAAAAACCTTTTTTAAGCCTCTCAGCATCGACTAAGCAGAATGATGAAATCACGAAAAATCTGATATATTTCCATTTTTAGGCCGCAATCAGGGACAAAAGTAGGTGACACACTTGTTTAAAACGGGTAATTTTATCAACAATTTAATTCTATTTAAACGCCCTAAATCCAGATTTGTAAGGACGTGGCCCTAAGTTAAACAAATCTGGACAGCAGTTTCAGAACAATGCAGTTTCAGTGACTGGGTTGACTGGTTTCGTGTGGAGGGAGGGCCGATTCATGTAAAAAAGTATGCGGTTTTAAAAATATCCAGATTCATGAGGACATAACAACTTGTCCTCACTACTTCTATGGAAAATGTACAGGTGCAACATGGCGTCTTGAAATGGTACCCCTATAAACGAGATTTGAAGTTCAGAAACCAGAAACCAATGCATTACAGAGCCCTATCCTATGTCTAAACTTTCACATTATCCCAAAAAGAGTCAATGTATTATAATATAATGTATAAATTACTTTTTACTTTTATCAGCAAATGTTTCATTCTAGTTCAACTTTTGTAGTATTAGTAACTTATAGTCTTGGAAACGTTAATGATGAAAAACATGGCAGACACCAGAAATGTTTAAAAAAAAGCCAAACACAAACTGTCAAAAAAGTGACTTGACAAAAGGTGTTTACAAATCGGCAACAATTTTCTATGGTCTATACTCTTATCAACCATAGAAATGGTGTCAAAATGTTTGAAAATCAAGAGGAACCATGAGCTGCATGTGAGTGGTTTCACCGACAAAAGAGCATTCCCCAAGGTTGACCTTCACTTTGCACAGGTTATACTGTAAAGTTCTGCACCCAGCAGCAAAGTTTCAGTGCTAATAGTATAAGGAAATTAGGAGAAACTTCACTCTTGCTTTGTTAATTTACAAAAGATAGGTCTTCATTATAATATTAAGAAGAAAAATGAAAGATTTATAACACAACGTTTCAGGGTCCTCATGAGTCTATTATCAACTGAGATGTGAATAATATTACAATCGAGCAAATGCAAGAGATAAGAAGTTGCTTGTTTTAACAAAACTCTGCATTATAATATTATCCAGTTTTACATCTTTGGCTAAATGCCTGCCTGCATGGGAATGCAGTATTGATAGGTGAGAGGTGCTGCCCCAGATATGGTGATGTTCCTCTTCGATACCAAAATAAAGCCCCGCAGTCACTGTGCACCTATATGTGCAACTTTGCGCAAAATGCCCAAAGAGAAGAGAACAGTTTTTTTTTTCAGTCTAAAGTATCACTTCTAAGTGTTTAGCTTTCAGAGTGTTTAACAGACTTCACATGTTCAAGAAAGCTGAAGATGTTGGGGGGCCATATTCATTTTTTCTCCGAGTCGTCAGCTGGGCAAGTAAGCCTGTTGGCATACTTGCGCGGTTACAATTTCGGTTGCCCAGACACAAGTGCAAAATTAAATAAAAAAATGGTGAAAAAATTGTGTTCAACTTGATTATTTCTGTTACTATAGCATTTTATTTCCGTTATAGTTACTAAGAAAGGATTTTAACTAAACTGTTAAGTACAACATGCTACAGGCCTAGGCTAACAAAGTTTATTTAAGTTTTACAAGTAGCCACGGTCGGTCAGTTTGCTGTGAAGGCAAGACATTCCTCTTACATTTTCTGCTGTATAAGGCAGCGGCTCCTGCATCGCCTTTTTTTCCGTTAAGGCAGCGAAATGTCTCAGTCTTCTAAAAAACGTCACATCTTGATGCCTATAACGCACCGGCTTCTACTTCACCTTTTTTAACAGCCGAAGGCGATGAAATGCCTTCTAAAAAACGCCACATCTTGTTGAGTGCTGTCACGTTTTCTATGAATAGCCTCTGAATGCAATACTTCACAAAAACTGAGCCTGTGATTGTTTCGTAGAAACTACTGCACCATCAAAAATGGCACCCAAACTTACGATTTCACTGCAGACAAAAGCTACTTGTTATTCTCCATTATTCTAAAAGTTTTAAGTGGATTAGAAGTAATAAGAACACAGGAGAAATGTATAAAATCATATAAGAATTTTTCAAAAGATTTTGTGGTAGAGCAAAACTTCACTTGTCTGAAGCGCGACTTTTAAAGTTATCTTAATCATCCATACGGGATTGTAGTTGTCTGGGATGACCTGATGACTGGGAATATGGATCCCTGAGATGTGATGCTTTGCACCTTCAGTTTTATGATTTATTAGATATTAAGTATAAGGTAGGAAAGGTTTGGAACTATTTTCATTATAAAAGTGATAAAAAATAATGCTCCACTATTCTGCATGTACATCCTGATCACTGAAACAATGTCAGCGGTTAAGGAGCATTTCAAAACCATGACCTGTGAGTCACACAGATAGCTCTACAAGGTAATCTTAGAGCCACCACAGTACAGATTAGGAAAAGCACATGGATTATAAGTCACTATGATCTTATGTTCTTTACACATTTTTGTATGTAAGGAACATATTATCAAAGATGACAATCTTTCAACTCAAGTTTGAAACCATCCTTTTGTACATCCATTACGATAAATAAAGATTAATACAATGTTTAACGTCGTGACCACTCTGGTCAGGATATTTAACAGTAACATATTTATTTTTAAAGGTCCAACTTTATCGATTAGGTTTTGTAACAGTTACTACTTGTTTTTACCCTGTTCATTTTACAAAACTGATTACTACAACTGTACTTGGTTCTCTGAAACAGTACATTTTCAATTTAATACCAGCATTAGAAACTGTTCCTAGGTGCACAGTGCGTCTAGGGTAAATGTGTCAAGAATAGAGTTCCAAAGTGATGACATCACAGAAATTAAATTTGTGAAATTATGGGATTTGTCAAGATATTCTGAAAGACTGAAGATCCCCACTTGCCAAAAATAAGCATTTCAGGGAAAATCTTCTCTGAGATATTAGCCCAGTTACGCCCTGATGACTCCCTACAAATCCTTCTGAATTTGACTTGGAGTCATCAGAGCATAACTGGTCTAATATCTCAAGAGACAATTTGTCCTACAATGCTAGTTTTCGGCAAACAGGCCTCTTGGATGGTTTTCTTTCAGAATATCCTGACAAATCCAATAATTTAAAATTTATTTGTTTCT